TAGATACGTACTTTCTGATAATTCCCATATTGATTTCAATTTAAGAGCCCCCGGTAGACAGTTGTTTCAGCCTATTGGGCATCGTCAGTACCGGGCAGGCGGTCCTCGATTGAAGACAAAATGTTGTTAAGGTATCGAATATGAAATCTGAAGTTTTCACGGATAGGAATATGCTGAACTGGTTTTTCCGGGTATTTGATCCGTGCCAATCCATCTATGATAATAGTGGCGATTCAATCATCGAGAGGTATCTCTAGTTTCATTTTTTTGACTTAGTTACGGAACAAACAGTATAATAAACATGCAAAATATGAGGTTTCGTTTTGCGTACCTTGTTACAAAATGTGAGATTCTCGACCAATAGTGGGTATAGGTACATTTAAATCAATTCAAACAACATTTTCAAATTGTTTCTATGTTTTTTTTTGTAATTTCATTAACTAATGAAAAGTATATGGTTTTAGATTCACAATGACTGACCTGTGTTATAAATTTTTATGAATTTATATGTTTTATGTGTATCAACGTTGTATCAGAACACCACATTTTAAAGTGAACGCAGACGTTGTGTATTTCCTAACGCAAAATATGATACAATCGTATATTTAGAAAATCTAGGGTTTTCCCAAACATTTTTTTATCCCTAGCAATGCATGTTCGACCTCTGTCCGCTCTCATAAAAATATGATAAACATAAGATTTATTTTTGATTAATTTCACTGTTTTCAATTTGTTTTGAAAGCAATTTACTTGCGTCATATGTTAGAAGTACCTCACAGAACAAACTTTTTAAAATATTCTCTTCATTTCTAATAATGAATATAACTAGGTATCTAATAGCACATAATTTTAGAAAAACTCCTATTTAAATGATCTAAATCTAACAATTTTCCTATCGAAAGGATAATGCTGTAATGAAAATAATTTCTCTTGACACTTCTACAAAAGGTTATCGATATTTCAATCCTGCAAACGTTACTAGATTTGACAGGAATTGTAACTTCTATTTGTCAAACGAATCAATTCCTTTTTATCGGAATCAAAATGGCTCTGTGACGCAAAGACAATTCTTTGAAGGCAACAACTTTTGAATGTGATATGTCTAGTCTATTTCATCAGTTCAGACTTCCATTGTCTAATATAATATAAATTGATTTGATAACCCTGAAAATATCAAAAAAGATTAACCGAAAATAACAATTTTAAGACGATTGTGGATACTAACAATCGAAACGTTGTGACATAACTTGGTTTGAAATCTTTTAATTTTTATTTTTTGTTAATAATATTTTTCAATTTTTTCAGCTGTTATCAATATTTCAATGTTTCACCACGAAACATTGTCAACCACCTTCAAACAAATGTCTAGTCTAGATACAATTTTTATTCTATTTGGGGGAGGCGTGAACCTAGAGATACCAGAACCCAAAAACGTTGAATTCATGATCCAATAACAGACTGCCCTGTCATAGATCTGCATTAGATCTGTGTTACTACGAATGGTCATGAATTTCCATAGAAAACTCATATCGATATTAAACTCAAACGTGAATATTGAAGAAAAACAAGGGTTCATACGGCGGTCAGTTGCAAAGTCAAGCCTTCAACAATGACCTCTAAGTGGGAAATCGCTTCCTGCCTCTCTTAACTATAAGCAAGCAACAGGGGTTGGCAACCTTTCACCAAAGAGGTACCCATGTGCAATTTTGAACAAAGCCAAAGTGTCCTAAAATAACTGTATAATTTTCATAAAAAAATTGTTGAAAGTAATGGGAAAAGTAACTAATAAAATTACTAACAATAATTCTAAACATTTTGATCAAAAAGGAAATTTTGCGAAAGCTTTTGTATTTCTGGTTCATTTCTAGTTACTTTTAATATTACACACGCTTCTAAATTTTCTGTTGTTAACCGGCTTCGATATAGATTCGAAATGATTTTCATGTAGGAAAAACTTACTTACACATATAGGACGATCCGAATCCTGAAAGCATTACAAATGCCACTTTTTTGAGGCGAATGAATTCATCTGGCAAACTAGCCCAACTATTCAGTATTTCGTTTGACTTATCCTAAGGGTCACCTTCTAATACTCTTCTCAGTTCCACAAATGTTGTCTTCCATAACTTGGAGTTCCTAAATTCAATATGCGTAAGCTCAACATCTTGAATTTCTATCCAAGAGATAATCATTGAAAGGAATGCTAGTAAAATCCATTAGGTCTGGTTTTATCAAGAAGGAGAACATGTGACCAAGTTTATCAAAAGCTTGACCTCTTTCAGCAAGTTCTTCTTTTAGTGAAGTTATATAGTTTAACGTGATTATTAAGGTTGGTAAGTATTTTTTTTTTAGATTTGGGAAGTATTTATATGTATGGAAGGTGATATCCTGAATAAATACATATATTTTCATTTTGAAAGACTTCCAGTAATCATACAAATTTAGAACAGTTTGACCCGATCCTTGCAACTCAAGGTTTAGTTCGCCAAGATTATTTATAATTTAAGTCAAGAATATTAACTTACAAATCCATTCTTTATTATCTAGACTTGAGCTTGATTTTTTTGCAACAATATTGACCTTATTTCTTTAAACACTTTACCGCGACTGAGCCAGCGTTTATTGCTGTGTAATGGAATATCTGAATACGCACTCTCTATTTCTTGTAAAAATGACTTGAAGTTGACTGTGAGTTAGTGAAAAACGACCAACAATGTAGTTGACAACTTTAACAACGGTATTCATCACGGATTTTAAGTTTCCGTTCGAGATCTGCGCACATAAACTTTCTTGATGGATGATGCGACGGAATTTCAAAAGTGGTCGACCAATGCGAGCAGCAAGAAGAGATACAAATCCCTTATGTGTCCCAATCATAGTGGGTACTCCATCCATTGGATTTGAATCGCTGGAGATTAAATCCGTTTGGAAAAAAAACGTTCTCAGGAAGTTTATTCCACATGAACGCAGTTTTCCAAATGGAAAAGTTCTTAAACAGTAGAAGTTCGAGGTGTACTGAGTTGAACCTCAAAACGATAAGCAGCCGCAGTCCGTCGCTCTTGGTGGAATCAAATGTGCCAAGTAACTTGAACACTCCCCGTAAATGTGTCTATGCTTAGAAGAGAGACAAATCCCCAACCTATCTTCGATGTTCCAGACTATAAAGGTTGCAAGTGATGTTCGCGTCTCCAATCAGGAGGATGGCTTTTTTCTGAATGGAATCCAGCAGCTTCAGGGTATTCTTAGGGGCAGAGTTCCATACACGAGAACAATACTCTAAAGAAGGTCTGATCTGAACTTAATGAGGTATCAAAAGTTGCTGAGGAGTGTACATTTTTCTAGTTCGTAACAGTGTTCCAAGCTTTTGAGAAGCAGCCGTTGCAGCCTTTGTTGGTGCCCAAGACATATTGGTATCCATGTTTACCCCCAAAAAAAACTATTGAAGCCGAAAGCGAAATTATCTGTTCTGATATCATTATATCCGGTTCGAAGACATTTATCTTTTTGGAGAAAACCGATGCCTGGGTTTTTGTGGCATCAAATTGAATCTGGTTAGTTTCATTCCAATTTGAAATCACTTTCAGATCCTCTTTAAGATATGCGACCTCCTGCTGCCAATATCCTGGAAACGAAATGGAATGAAGAGACAAGTGTGCTGTCGTCAGCAAAGCAATATATTAGATTCTTGGTTTTTCTCAATAAGTCGTTGATATACAATAAAAAGAGGGTTGGAGACAATATGGATCCCTAGGAAACACCAGCGTTGATGGTAAAATTATTCGAGAGATAACTATCAACGACCACTTGCAGGGAACGTTTCTTCAGGAAGCTACAGAGCTATACACAAAAATGATCCGACAAGTCATAGCAACAAAGTTTGGCCAGCAAACCCCCATGCCACACACGGTCGAAGGCCTTAGAATTATATGCATGCATATATCTATTTTGAATTCTATTCTATTCTAATCATACATTTCCTGAAGATGAACGGAGAGGTGTTTGCTTCTGCCTATGGGCATAATAATAATAATTTTTGTTTGAGTTGATCACACATTTTCGAATTGAAAAGTTTCATAGTCAGTCTTCAAGTATACTCACTGACTATATGTGAAAGTTTTCTTTCCTTGTACGAGGAATTGGGCAAATTTCGGATATGCAGTTGGTTACCTCATTCACAGGCAGATGGGGCGACGACAAACTTTTTGTTTGTTGTATGTTTCAGCTTAGTTCGAGGAATGATACTCTGATGGAATTCGATTTTCAATTATCGGAAATCATCGACTTCATGTTGATGATATTCCCCTTCCTTGCACTGACGAGTGGCCAAACAGCCCGAAACCGGTCTGCAAGTGTGTTCCAATAATTGAAAATCTATTGCGGCAGTTGTATCGCCAACAGCATATACTGGAATAACTTCTGTGAAGAATCCTGCACTGACACCTGTCGGATATATTCCAACGCCCTTCGTGGTATGAGCCAGGGGAGTAGTTGTTTTCTGATAGGTGTCAGTCTATTAACCTACTGTGTAGGGAGTTGAGACTGGCCTGAACGAATTGTTCTTAGATAATTTGAAAAGTTTCATTAACATCCCCATTAACTTCATTCCTGGAATAAATAAAAAACTGAAAGCAGCTCCGAAAAAACATTGAGAAATGCATGAATGTGAATTACGTAGGTCGTGATATATAAATTACCCAAAAAGAATATCTCTCCTTCTCAATGATTTCCTGAATAATAACATTTTACTCATTTGATTATTTATGTAGATACTATGATGGTTCATTCAGGTCGGCGACATTTTTAGAATCACTGTATGCATGCATGAGTTCGTAGTGGGCCTAACTTGGGGCTATATATACATATGCCTTCCAAGAAGTGAGGATTCCCGGTACTACTCAACACAGCCGTGCCCCCACCAAAAGCCTTCTTAACGTGAAATGAAAACACGTTCTATCGTTCCCAGAAAGTAACTATCGCTTTGTCTCTTTCTCTTCAAATACAAAGTCGAATAAGCTATCTCGCTTGGAGCGTCATCTAGACAAACGAGCTGGCTTCGGCGGCTCACATTCGGTATGCGACCGCTCACAGTTACACTTGAACAATCGATAGTCACAATATAACCTCAAAATTAGAATCTACACACCCAAAGTCGTAAACTAAAATCATGTGCAGTTGTGTTTCCTGGCGGACTAGTGATATAATTTAGTTTCAGTGTCTTGTGGTGCCTATAAATTAATGCTTAGGATTAAGTGCTCTTATAATATCGAATAATGTGGAGCATTCTCTTTGGCAACAGTTCTTTGCTGTATTTCAAATAGGTGAGACTTTAGTTACAGTTACTTTTAGTTATTAGTGAATTCCCGATTTGGTTTAAATTGATTTCGCTCTCAGCTAAAAGATATATGTGTACAATATGTGTGCAACAAAACCATTATGAATGTACTCATTCAATGAATGGTCATTATGAAATAGAGTGACCTAATTTCTGAGCCCATTGAACAATTTTGTTATAATGAATTAAACTGTTTCCTGTTCTGTACATTCGTTTTCAACAGTGAACGTCGAAGCTGTTTTGTTTTTCTACGTAAAAGTGTAAGGTCACAATTATTTTGTTCACATCCTGTTTACAGAGAACTATAATAGACTGGAGTGATTTTTTTCAAATATAGGAATATGAGTTAGGTACCTATACACTCAATCAATGTGTGTGTGTTTTTTTATACCTAATTGTGTCTGAAGATGATAAGGTACCCACCAAGGGGAAAAATTAATATTGAATACCAATGTGGTTGACGCTTCTTTTCCAGTTTTTGAAATACTCTCATCCCACAGTCTGTCCTCGGTCAAACATATGCAAGTTGTTTGGATATATTAGGATGACCTTTAATAGTAACCCGAGTTCAATCATTGGATATTATGCAACATGATCAGTAATCTTGAGTTTAGTTTAGTTAGGTACTCTGCATTAAAATAATAATATTAATACACAAAGTTCCCTTTGTAATATAGTTTCCTTTGTTGAACAGTTCAATGAAGTGACCTGTTTGAAACAGGTAAATACTACTTGGAACGTTGACGTGTTTTTGAATTCACAGAAGGCATTTTGAGTTGGAAGGACTGGTAACAACTATCTATCCGATTGCTCATTCATTTATAACTATTTATACGAGTTGAATTATATGATAGCAGAATATAAATAGAGTGGATTTACGATTTAAAATAAATTCAACAAAAATCAGTTATATTTACAACACATTAACATATTTATTAGATATGGAAACTTATGAAAGAATCGAGGTAGCGAGAGAGATAATAAATTTAAAATTACCGAGAAATCTGCGATAATGAATTTCCATTAAAAATCTCAAGAACGCTTCTCCCGCTCGCTCAGGGTCGTTTACATTGAGATTCTGAAAGTACAGAATTGCACACATGTCGCTTTGTATTACGTTCATTTGAATTCCGAGCGGCTGAAGCTATTATCGGAGGAATTTTAATGGTAACAAGTTTTTTCGAATTATTGTGAACCTAAGCCGTATTTGTTTTTTCATCCATTCACTCGAACGATAACAATTGAAAACTAGACGATACATAAACTTGACAGGTCGGAGAGTGGCGCCTTGTACTTCCATTTCTCCATTTGTTCGAAAGTCGTGATTAATCGTACAAGGAATTATCATTAAATGTAATTGTGCGCTGAAAAAATCGTAGATATCGAGCTAGTTTTAAATAATAGCGGATCAAAGTCCACAAATGGCTACTTTAATTTCAGATAGAATCAAAGGTTGGCTTTAAAACTAGGTATTTTATCCGCAAGTGTCGATTTCTAGACGGTGCAAACTCAGTCTTGACTTAGTTCAAATTTTCAAAATTTTCTGTTTATAGTTATCAGGACTTCATAAGTAAGAAGTAGTAAGTAATGTATTAGATAGTTTATCGGTTAGTTTGAAGAAAACCGTCTATTTCGATAATTCAGTTAGTTTTTTAAAGTGATTTCAACATTTTATTTTAACATGGATAAATTTACTAAAAATACTACTGACTCATCTCGTGACGTATTAACTTGAACACAACAATTTATTCGTGGATTTTCTGTTCTTTAAAAATTATTTTTTATCAACAAGTCACAGCGTTCAAGTAGATATATTTAATTTTTTCAGATTTGAATTCAGGCTTGTTAAAACATTGTATAGTACTTCAGTCGTCTTTGTAAATGAAATCATCTTCCTGTAGACCCTCAAAATTCCTCAATTTTTACTGGTATTCAAAAATAGTAAGTTTAAAAGTGAGATACATCAATACATCAATATCAATATCATCATTATTTTCAAATCATTGGAGTAGACAATATATACCTATATGATTTTCGTGGATTATGTTATTGGCAAATCTTATTTCACTAATTAAGTTCTTTAAACTGTCATTTTAAGTATAGTTGCTGTTAGATATCATATTTTCCAAATTTGAGTATTTTCAGATATATTAGACTAAATATTTCGTAGTTTATAAAATATGTATTGTAGAACAACGAATGAAGAGTGAACATTTTGTCTCAATTATTCCAATATAGAAGAAATACTGTTTCCTCTGGCTACATCTAGGCCTGATAATTCAAACGTCAAAGTCAAGGAAAGCATTGGTTAGTGCTATGAGGAACTGGAGTTCAAATATTAGTTGTTACAGAAATGCCAAGTCAGCTCTTGATAATGCCAGTTGGATCCATAGATACTATTATTGAACGGTCAACCAGTGTCATAATTATATATCAGAAAATGTGTCTATGCACACTATGCACAGCTTTCCTCATGATCTGAAACTAACAAAAAATGGGCAATTGAATATTTTTGATCACTTTGTATATTGTAATGCAGGCGATTCAAAAAACCATTGCAAACCTGATGAAATGTTCTCGTTATCAAAAGTTGAAAGGTATTGTTTATGAGCATAAAAAGCCTTATTTATATCCTTGTCAAAAATCAGTTTTTGGCATTTAAGTTCATGATGAAGCAGTGGTATATCACAGTAATTTTTTTTTATTTCAGTTTTATACACTTCGATATTCTCTAATTGTGAGCCATAACACAGATGTTTCCTTCAATTGTTTAAAATGAAACAAAATCGAAATTTTTCAATTTTGACATTGGTCCACTTGTATAAGAGGAAACTACAGTAAACATTTCAAATTTGATATTTCACTGTGGAAGAAGTTATGAATTTTTCGAAAGCGTAAAAGGTAATAAAAATTTTGTTTCAAACCGCATAAAATTAGTCTTTGAACTGCTCTTTCAGATAAACTAAAAAAAATCCGAAATACAGAATATTTTATCTAATACACATTGATGTATAACTAGCAGATTGGCCTCGAAATTTATATATTCCTGTACCTAATTTGAATAAATAATATAGGAAAATTATAATAATAAGAATGAAAAAATGTCAATTTTTTTGTACCCGAAGTTTAACACGAAAAAAACTAACTTAAGTGAACTTGCCGTAAGGTGGTCTTCTTGTTCAGGCTACAAGCTTTTAAACGACGATCGATGACTGTAATCCTGACATTGAAATTCTAAAAGACGTGAGACCGAAAACGGACGTTCTAGCTTTGTTCTCAACCTGCAAACCAAAATCACGGAAGTATGTTAACACTCTAGACACGGCACCAATTCGAAACGGATATGTGTGAATGGACCTTTCAACGGTACACCTTCCGGTCCATACTAGAGATAAGTACATCTTGTATGATGTAAGAAACATGTAAGCAGCTGGTAGTTTAAGTTGTTGGTGAACAATGATATCATACTTCAATATAAATATTATTAGATTCAGGTAGCTACACGCGGAATATTGAATTACTGTGTATATTTCGCCTGAAAATACTTTCATAACAATTAACGTAAACATTTGCAAGTTTCAAGGTCGCAGTGAAATGTGTTTGCATTTTTATCGAATGGAGATCTTCGAAATGAGGTAATTGCAGGTGTCTGATGACTTGACCCGAAATTACTTTTTATTAAAAATTAAATTTCATCGTCAAACCATGACATCAACTAGAGTTTTTCAATGATTTCACTTTGGGTATGACGATGTTGTTAAGTGACGTCATGGGGTCTAAGACAATTTCTATGTTTTTTTTTCAACGACTTGGTTTAATTCAGCTGTGATATTTGTGTATCTACTGGTTCATATATTTCAAATAAACATAGTACTCAACAATGTCTGTCTACTATTGCTAGCCTCTTTCCCGAAAACCCTATTTTCAGTTTTACAACCAATATGGTGCAATAAGGAGACACAATCAAGGATACAACATACAGTCAAATTCGACTTTTTGCTAATTGGAACAACTAACTTATCAATTACATATAGAAATGCAAAAATTTCTGGTATATGGTAAAGATATGTAATTCCAGATAATGTTTTTAAACCATAGACATGAAACGTGGAAGGCGGCCAATGAAATATTTTTATTGTCTAGTGATGGCCATGAATTCTATCAAAACTTTGAATTCGCCTAAAAATGTTCCTATTTAGATTTTTTTATCAAATGGGTTTTGCTACTCAATCGTTCAACTGGTAGAAGCGAATTGAAACCACACCAAATCACTTTTCAATATTTCGAAATCTGAATTTAAGGCTGCAATTATTCTATTGGGGAATTTTTGGCTTCTCATTTTGAATTCAATATTTGAATTTACCTGAGAGTCCATAAGAACGGAAATTTCTTTGAGTGTGTGAAAATTCGAAACATGCTGTTTGTTTCAATTGGTTTCTGCTAGCTTAACCACTAAGCAGAACCAAATGAAAATCTTTCACTTTTTGGAAATTTTGATGCTCATCTATTTACTTTCTTTAGATTTTCTTGGTTTTTCTTTATTTTTCCTTGACTCGAATGAATACAAATAAATGCAGTTGGCATACCCAATTCACATTAAAGCCTATCTCGATTTGGTTTTGGTTGTAGATTAAGATTATAGGTAATCAAATTTTGCGGTAGTTTTTAAATTTTTCAGAATTACCGCTTGTTATCGACTTTGAATCTATAAATGAAACAATTTTTTTTCATATATCAAAACAAACAAGGTTTGTCTCTCATATTTTATTATTCAGTTACAATTTTGAACTAGAATGTATCAAGGATCAAACAAGTAAGTGGCAAATAAACCGGAATATATCAATCTCGATTTCCGAAGAATTCATCGTCGATGATATTTTTGAGAAAGTTAGATTTGTTCATTCATTTCTGCTTATTCAATTTTTGCGAATTAACTTTGTGGTGATCCGTGGTTACTTACTAGGAATTTCAGAACTCGAATAGAAC